ACTAGCTCTTGTAGACCAGGCTGGTCTCGAACTCACAGAGATCCACCTGCCTCTGCCTCCCAGGTGCTGGGATTAAAGGCATGCGCCACCAATGTTGGGGGGAGGGGTTTTAGACAGGGTTTCTCTATGTCTCTGTGTAGCTTTTGGAGCCTGTCCTGGAACTCACTCGATAGACCAGGCTGGCATGGAACTCACAGAGAGATTCACCTGCCTCTGCCTCCCAGGTGCTGGGATTAAAGAAGGTGTGCACCGCCGGCCTGTTTTTGGAAATTTTTACTATAGCAGTGTTCAGAGAACAGTGTCATTCACTACCCTCAGGCCTCACAAAAGACCATGTCTCAAAGCAGTTTATTAAAACAAAAATCTAAGCACCTAAGCGGAACTAAAGCTTCAGGCTTAGCTCATGCGATTCCCTCCTTTGCAAAGTCCTCCCCGCCCAGCTGTGCCTTGACGCTCCCCACTCACCACTTTCCAGGCTGTTCTGTCACGAACGTCTTTGCCCTCCCCCCTCAGCACTGGCCACAGGCTCCCTAGGCTTTGCCAGTGCTCGCTCTGACCATGCTGCATCTCCACCCTTTGAGCCCTGCACATGGTGTGCTGGAGGGCCAGAACTGGCTTTTAGTAAGCGTTGCATCTCCAGGACCCGAAATGGGGTTTTCAATGAGCGTTTCACAGGCTGCGTAAATGAATGGTTGCAAGTGGTGAGAGGGTGAACTTTCCAAGTGTCCCTAAGGAAGGGCTCGTCAAATGCTTTCAGAATGGAAATCATTGCACTTGTGAACATTACCTGCTGCCTTGCCAAGCACCCGGAAACCCTTCCCGTATGACTTCTATAACCACACCTACTCCATCAATGAGTTCTGACTTTCTAGAAAAAAAGGAACAACTCCTGAAATCACCATCCTGTGCTTTGACCAAAATGCCACCTGCCAAAAAGTTAGACAGGTCATTGAAACTGCATTGGTGCATCTTTTAGAAGCAGGCAAATAGATGTTTGTGCATTTTGCTCTTGAAGCAAAATGATATGTTTTAATATCCCCTATGCCCAATTAAAAGTGGAATCAGATATTTTACCTAAGGATTGGAGTTTGAGATGGAAAATTCTGTTAAGCCTTTTCTACTTTCTGCTTAATTACAACTACTATGTATTTCTGTAAAACTTCAAATATTCTGGATTTAATTTTATAAAGAATAAAATTATAAGGAATTTAACTTATCAAGACTACATGTTTCCAGAAAGTCCTTTCAAGGCCTCGTTCTCTAGAACTGGCTTTTGACAATTTTCTTTCCCCAAAGGCAAGCCGATGTTTCAGTGTTTGGTTTCTGTTTTTAGAGGCAAAGGAACTGTTAGCTTTAAAACAAGAGGGCTGGTGTGACTGGGTGAGGATCCTTCATCGTTCTGCGTGAGAAGCATAATTACTTACGTGGAGTGAAACAGAGAGCCGTCCTTTTCTAAATAGCCCTCGTAGTGGACCAACATCAGGTCCCCTCCCTTGGTCTTGCGATGGCAGATGAACGGCTTCTGGAGAACTTCGATTTTCACTTCTGGCTCAGGAATCAAAGCTGAACTCACAGCCATGACCCACAGTGTCAAGATCGCGTTCCACAAGAAAAACCTCATGTTACCAAGGCAGAGAAAGGGTCCCCGACTTCATAGAGTTAAAAATATGCCGAAAGCGACGACGGCTTCGGGTAAGTCCGGGACTCCCACCTACCCTCCCAGGAAGACGTGGCACTTTTACTACCAACTTTGGCACACACACTGCGAACTCTCCTTTAAAGAGTTAAAGTCCCATCGTAGCATGATTGGCTCTAGAAGGGGCTGCTTGGGCAGGGCTGCCTTCCACTGGCTGACGGTGCTGTCACTCAGGCTCCCCTCCAGCCAATGGCGCTGCAACAGTGCAGAGCTTCGGTGTCGCGGCGGGTCAGGCGGCCGGGTCCAGCCACCCCAGTAGTCCTAAAGCCCGCGGGCTAAGAAAGTCTCCCACCTAGGGAGGGCAGCTGGGTGCACAGCTAACAGGAAACTCCCTGGGAGACGGCTTTGCCTCTGTGAAGAACTGCAACTGAGCCAACTGAAGAGCCCCAGGTGACACTGGCTTTTGGCAAGACCGGATACTGGAGAGCACCCTCTCCGAGATACCACAGAGGATTGCTCAGAACCGTGGCTTACTAACTTGAAGCTAGACTCCAAGGACGGACAAGGATGCTTTAGGGTTCACAAGGCACTTCTGGTGCAAGGTCTTCCTTCACTAACTTAACGTGGTTATTTTCCCCATTTAGACGTTGTCCTGGGTTAAAACATCATGACCAATAGCAACTTGGGGAGGAAAGGACTTTTATCGATTACACTTCATATCACAGCCCATCATCTAGGGAAGTCTGGACAGGTACTCAAGACAGGAGTCTGGAAGCAGGAACCGATGGGGAGGCCATGGAGGGTGCTGCTCACTGGCTTACTTAGCCTGCTTTCTTATTAGCGCCCAGGACCACCTGCCCAGGGATGGCACCGCTCGCAATGGGCTGGACCCTCCCACGTCAATCAGCATTTCAGAAAATGAACCACAGACTTACCTATAGACAAATCTTATGATGGTTCAGAGCTCACCTTTCCAAATTACTTTATCTTGTGTCAAATTGGCATAAAACTAGCCAGCACCAAAGATAAACAAATTGAGGCTAGAAGTTAGTGTCCTGTTTAAGGTCACTTGGTGCAAACAATTGGCACTCCGCCTTAAGACTAAACGTGATTCATTCTAAACATGACTGTTGATGACTGTTAATGATCCATCATTTGAACGTCCTTATTGTAGAGTAAATAATGGCTAAGGACGTGCCTCTTTAACGAGGAAATGGCATTAGCATTTAAGAGTTACACAGCTTCAGGTTCCTAGTTCTACATGGTCGCCTTAATTTCAGACGTAGCCCATGGTAGCAGATGGAGAGGAAACTGAGAAGAAGATTCTCTAGATTAAACCTGAAGCAAACAGGGCATTAAGCAAGGTGTGCAGTTCAGGTAAATAACCAATTAAGTTATATATTATTTACCACACCTGTCAACCTTACACTAAGGGGAAAGAAAATGCCCACACTTTAGCACTTCAGAGCATGTTTCAGGGCCGTTTGGGTTACGTTGGGTTGCATCGTGCTCTTTCTTGACATTCCCCTTCCACTTAACGTGTGATTAACACTTTCTTGGCTACAAATGCTAACAACTTCATTTCCACACTTGCATGTGCATACGAATTCCCCTTGGAGAGCTTGTGAAAATGCAGACATTTGATCCAAAAGGTCCGGGACCTGGGCGAGATTGTATTTTTAACAGAATCCCAGGTGAAGTCAAGGCCAGCGGTCCAAAGCCCAAGCCTTCCCTGCAGAGGCCCGCGGTTTGAAAT